TAATAACTTGATTGGAATTATAACCTTGAATTGACAGTTTGATACTTTGAAAATTTTGAGCCAGCCCTACCCCCAAGGGCTGTAGGGTGGGGCTCAAAGGAGTCAGTGTGCTAAAATTTCTTCATTTTCCTTGTTAAGAATCAGAGGTGCTAGTTTCAAATCCTTTTTAGTCTGAAATCTGTATGCTAGATATTGAGTAAGGTGGTTTTATTGTTTTTTGTCACTTTGAATAATATTTCTGTTCATGTTAAAAACAAAATCAACTCTCTGTATAAATATATCAGGTGACCGTTAAGGCCCATGGGCCTCTTGTGATAATTATACTTTGGATATAAATAAATACACATGTTCATGTAAAAAAAATAGATAGATTGAAATAATTTTCAGTAGGATTGCAATGAGAAGAATAAGACCTCTTTGTTTTGGTGCAAAAAGAAAAATGAAATAAAAAATAAGTTATTATTTTTTTGAAAAAAATGTTTATCCTTTTCAGTGTTCAAGATTTGATTTTAGGTCAAACAAGATTTAGATAACACAATTTAGATAACACAATTAAGATGCACAATTCATGAAGTACTGAGAGACATGAATTTAATGTTTTGCAGAGCAAGACAGGTGAACCATGCAAGGAATATCTGGGACCGCGCCATTACTATTCTGCCTCGTGTGAACCAGTTCTGGTACAAGTTCACTTACATGGAGGAGATGCTGGGGAACATAGCAGGTATAGGAAGCATTTTAACCCTGTGAACAATTTATTTTTCCAAATTCTTGATAAAAAAGAAAATATTTCGCATTTGATAAATAATTAATGAAATCTAAAACATGGTCCTTTTGTATAATTCAAATGGAATAATTGAAAAAAAACATGTGGGGTTCTTTTAAAATTCTATGCTTCAAAAGGTTATTGGAACAGTGGAAACACAGACCCTGATTCTGATTAATCATTTAAGACCTTACCACCCATATATTTATAGATAAACTGGCTTCTCAAGTGATAACTTATTGAATATACAATCATTTATAAAATTGCCTGAAGAAAAGAAAGAACTCAAAGTGAAGAAATGTTTTTTTTAAACATTAAGAACGTTTTTCGTCGTGACATTTGTAGTTGGATTAGATGAATGGGAACTTCAGTAACATATATGTCTGTGTCTGTCGATCCTGTTTAGGTTGTCGTCAGGTGTTTGAGCGCTGGATGGAATGGGAGCCGGAGGAACAAGCCTGGCACTCGTACATCAACTTTGAGCTGCGCTACAAGGAACTGGACCGGGCCAGAATGATTTATGAACGATATATCCTTTATATACTCTACAGGCCATTGAAGGCCTGGGTGATTTTATAGCAAATTTGTCGTAATAGTGTTTATATATCAATTTATCTGGATAGGAAACAAAAAATAGGTGGTTTGTAATTTCTGGGATATATGATAAAGAGGCACATGTTTCAAATTGGGATGATTGAATAAGGATCCCTGTACCACTGTCAAAAACCGTAACTAAGTGTTGGAAAATGTTTTTTTCCAGCATGACTATATCTTTGATAACTCATTTTTGAAAAGAAAACTATAACTTTTGGATTTTTTATGGAAAAAATAATGAAGATGAAATCAACAAAATACATGTATAATCAACCAAAGTGTTCTGGGTGTGAAAGTTCAGAGAGGCTAGACCAGGGAACACAGGACTTCAAATTGTTATACAATCGCTGTAGTCGACTGAACTATCTGAGCAATGGAAGTGTCACGGCCCAACTGTACTACAGTTATTTCCAAAACAAAATTGAGGGGAGGTTACTGTATATACAAACAAAAAAATGCAGTTTGACAGAGATCCTTAAAAGAAACAAAATTCCGAAACTGAATTTGCATGTATATGGTACTAGTAAATGTGATATAAATGTGTTCTTAGGTTTTTGGGTCTATTCAAACAATTGATTTTCAATTTATTTTTCAATATGAAATTAACCAAACACATATACCAAGGTAATCGTATTTGACGGGGAACCATAACGGGGAAGAGGAAAATTATTTGGTAAAAATTGTCTGTATGGTAATTAGAAATTACTGTGCTTGTTTGAAGAAGAATAACATTTTGTATTGTTACATATGATTTAGGATGGTATGGAAAGAAAAAAACATTTTCCTTCTTTGTCAATTTTCTTTTTTTCCATACGTTTTGTAAATTTCACCATCAAACAAATAGAAATATCATTTCATGATAAAAGTCTGAACAACGTCAAAAAGGTCATTTAGCACATAAGAAAATTAATGATATTGCAAAAAATGTTAAAAAAATATTCCTTGACAGAGACTACTTGTTATAATCCACCCAGCTGTAAAAAACTGGATTAAGTATGCCAAGTTTGAGGAGAAACACCAGTACATTAACAGTACCCGACGGGTCTATGAGAGGGGCGTGGAATTCTTTGGTGAAGATAACATGGAAGAAAAACTTCTAATTGCTTTTGCAAAATTTGAGGAGGGACAGAAAGAGGTAAATCTTACCTGGAATAACATTCCTATGCCGTGAAGTTGTCACCAATGCTTCGATAGATTATTCACCCTGTTGTGACATAAATAATGGAGGCACGGTAATCTAGTGGTAGGACGCCGGGCTCGTGACTGAAGGGCTGCATGTGCGAGTCACGGCACGGCACTGTGTTGTATCTTTGAGTAAGATACTTTACTCCCCTTGTTCCAGTCTACTCAGCTGTAAATGAGTACATGGTTGGGCAGTGCTAGAATTGTTGTAGGCTAGCTGTGAGCACCGAAATAGCAGCTTCGGCTGTGTGCTCCCCAGGGAGTTGAGAAAGGTATTGGCTGGTTGCAAAGGCCCTATAACCACGGATAATAATTTGTGAACCGCTCTGAGACGACCTACGATCTAGGTTGTGATCAAGGGGTATATAAAAACCTCAAATTATTGTTATTATTATAAAAATGTCCTCATCATTTTGAAAGGTCACCATTATGTGGGTTAAAGGTTCAACATTGTGATTCTATTATTTCTCGGTAAAACCAATGAATCCCAAGGCTACCTGCTACCTGACGACAAATCCCTGTATGTAGGGATTTGGGGGTTTGAATTTCTACGATCAAGAAACCCCAGTAACACACAATGTCTTCATAATACACTGATATAAGTCTGCATAACTGATGATCTTCATAAAACATTAAAATCAAAATTAGTGAATATGAGACATTTTGAAGTTTCACATTCTATAAATAAAAATATTTTTAAAAGTCTGTCGAGAAGATGTCATCTCGAAGTTGATTTTGTGAGGCAATGGGTCGGTGAAAGTACGCCCAGAAAAATTTCGTATTTTGCTTATATAGCTCATAAAGGACATTTAGACATAGTGTTTGTGCTACACTAACCTAATTCCACAAAACGAAAAGTTGAAATCCACACTAAATTTGATCTTTATTTAACGATCTAGCTTTGATTGGTTTTTCAGCATGAGAGAGCTAGAGTTATATACAAATACGCTCTTGATATCCTCCCGAAGGAACTGTGTACGGAAATCTACAAAAGCTACACCATGCATGAGAAACGTTTTGGAAGCCGGGCCGCAATTGAGGATGTTATTGTCAGTAAACGAAGATTCAAGTATGAAGAGGTAAGCAAATCTCTCACTTAACATTCCTTTGTTGTCTTAACAGGTTTTTGGTTTTTTTTTACTTTCATGTTTTAAAAAGTATTTCATCTTTTGCAAATTGATTTTTAAAAATCTGTCCTTATCGTAAGAATGAAATAAGATTTATTTTCTTTCAAAACAATTGTGAAACAAGTTCAATCAACTTACAGCAACCACTCCAATAGGTCAGTAGGGAATCATGCTGGAGTATAATTAAGAATTGTAAAGAGAAAGTTCCCCATTTTGGTTTTCTGAGTATTTTTTCTTTAAAACTGACTTTTACGCTCAAAATATTGATTTCATCACAATTGACTGACTTGTACCCAAATTAAAAATTCTTTTATTCTACACTTAAAAATACTAATTTCACCATTCTAATCACGGCTATTGGATTGTTGCTATACAGGAAGTGACAGAGAACCCACTCAACTATGATGCCTGGTTTGATTATCTTCGGTTGATGGAGGCCGACGGAAACACAGAACAGACTAGGGACACATTTGAGAGAGCGATTGCGAACATTCCTCCGTCACAGGTGAGCAAGTACACGTTAATACAACAAGCAGGTATCGGGGCTCTACAGTATAGCACTTTGTTACAGACTGGGAGTTTTGGGGGCAATACTTCCATTGTGAACTGTTCCTTTGCACAAAAAAATGTTATCTGATTGTTCCAGTTCACCCAGCTGTGCTAATATGTACAAACATACTAAGAAGTAATTCTGTGAATGACTGGTGTCCTTCCAGGATGAGTGTAATGTTATCTGAATCACTCTGTGCCAAATAACTAGAGTTAAAATCTTTCCCTATGCCTGGCCTCTTGGCTTAAGACAGGCTTTACTTTTAGATTTCAGAAAAATTAATTGCAATGCACTTTTGTTCATATTATGATGTTATTAAGGCAGTTTGTTATTTTTAGGCATAAAGACATAGAAGCCAAAAAGAAAATATTTTTAACAAAGTGAAAGATTTTATTAAAAAATCTGTTTTTTTAATATGTGAAATATTATTTTTGAAGCACAGAAGTGGAGTAATAAGCTAAATAGACTGGTCAGGATCAGTAAGAAAAACCAGGGTATAATACTATACTGTATCAGTATATATTTTAGTTGGGGTTAAATTTCGTTGTTGATGTATGGAGACAAATTTGTTTGGATAATAAAATTTGTGGAATCAATATTCAAAACCCTGATTCTTTTTCTGGTAAGTAAGAAGTTTAAATTGACAGGCGTGATGACACAGTGCAAGTAAATATAGTACAGGTAAGATCGCGTGAGATTCAATCACTCGATTGGTATCGTCAAATCCGTCACGCTCTATAGTTAACATACAAAGAGCGATGTGTCTAAATGTAAATGCAACATGAATTTGTAATTAAAATAAAAGTTTACCTCATATGTTCGTTAAGTTTATATTTCATGTGTTTAAAATTTCATTCGGATTTTCAAAAACCACGAAATAAACGAAATTGAATCTCCAACAAATTATTATGCTTTTACAGTAAGCAAGTGTTCTATATATCATTTGCCCTTGGATGGAAAAGCATCAAGTACCATTCAAGAGATTATTATATTTCATCTAAATTTTCTTAGCATTTTGGGTGAAAATCCTTTATACCTCTTACTAAAAACGGAATTTGAATCTTTCAGGAGAAGCGACACTGGCGTCGTTATATCTACCTGTGGGTGAACTATGCTCTGTTTGAGGAGCTGGAGGCGGAGGACTTTGATCGGACACGAGAAGTCTACAAAGCATGTCTGGACATCATACCACATAAGAAATTTACATTTGCAAAAATATGGCTACTCTTCGCACAGTTTGAGATACGACAGAAAAACTTACAGGGAGCTAGAAGAGTGCTAGTAAGTGATGGATTGAATGTTGATCTGTCAAAACTTGTTTTTCCTGTGGCAGAGACAAAAATATAGGTATTTTCAGGTTTGAGCTTTGTGTAAAACTGATTCAAGAAACAGCAACTTTTAACTTGAAATGTGTCTGCAGTCTTGGTTTTTAAGAGTACATTTCTTTTCACTCATACTTAACTTGCATTAGTGCATTCATAATGAGAAGAATTTTTGCACAAATGAAATTAATATATTTCAATACAGATAACATATTGTCACTACTCACAAAATGTACTCTATATAACGGGAAATTTTTGTCCAGTCAAATTTTCGCCCTTCGACAGTAAAATCCATTTTTTGCCCAATATTAAATTTGCCCTTCACATTTGATTACTACGTATATTATGTTGTTTACAAATGTACACTGTAATGATAAATTGTTAAGGAAAAAAGGCGAAAACAATCTTGACATGTTTCTTATGATTATACATGTTTAAAATTCATATATGGAAGTCAAAATGTGTCATAATTAAACATGTTTCAACCTTGCGAGAGGGAAGCATAAAGACTTGCTACCCATGGATAACGTATCAACTGAGATAATCCTACATGTAAAGGGGTGAGACATTCTTTTTGAAGGAGACATTTCTCCAGCAGGAGTTTGCTGTTTTAAACACTTATCTATCTAGAAAAACATGCATCTTCAGAAGAATAATACATCTTTCCACTGTATTTTCAGGGAACAAGTATCGGAAAGTGTTCGAAGAACAAGCTGTTTCGAGGGTACATTGAACTAGAGCTACAGCTTAGAGAGTTTGAGAGATGTCGGATTCTGTATGAAAAGTTTGTGGAGTTTGGACCTGAAAACTGTACGACGTGGATGAAGGTAATGATCACTATTAGTGTAAATGTTTGGGTAATTTCCTTACCACCACCCCCCTTCCTAAACCTACACCCACCCACCAACCCCTCACCAACCTCTCCCCAACTCACCAACCTCTCCCCAACCCCTCCCCACTTACCAACCCCTCTCCAACCCACACCCACTCACCAACCCCTCCCCTTCCCAACCAACACCCACTCACAAACCCCTCCCCTCCCCAACCCACACACTAACCCCTCCCCAACCCACACCTACTCACCAACCCCTCCCCAACACACACACACTCACCAACCCCTCACCATGGCTTCATGGACAATTTTCTGTTCTCAATGTGTTCTATATACATTCACAAGAAACTTCTAAGTTTGTCATTCCAAATATTGCTGTGAGTGAAAGGATCCAAATTACAAAATTGCATATTTTTCAATGATTTTGTAGGATTTTATTTTGTTCCTGAACATTATTTTCAAAATTTTGATGAGTCTCATTAATAGTAAGACATATAATGGGTTCTCAGAAGTCCAGGACTTATATATCTGTGCCCCCTAATATCAGTGTTTTTACAGCTTATATAATTCCCAGACAGTTTCTTTTGACTTACAATAATAAGTTATTTTTATTTGAACAGTATGCTGAACTTGAGACGATTCTAGGAGACATTGACAGGGCACGGGCAGTGTACGAACTAGCCATCAACCAGTTGAAACTGGACATGCCCGAGGTCCTGTGGAAGGCCTACATAGACTTTGAGGTGGAACAAGAGGAGTTAGATAACACCAGAGTGTTGTATCGTCGTCTACTGGAGAGGACGCACCATGTCAAGGTAAGATATCTACCTTAAGAATCCTCCCACCCTTCACAGGTGTGTCTTACGTTTCAGCAGAGAAAGATCAGCTTGTCACCCCCTAGGGGAAGATAGCCTCATGTTGATTAGCACGAGTTCAATTGTGACGTCATTAAAATGCGTCACCGGTAATTGTGACGTCGTCAATAGTAAATGACGATATTCATACCCCACATGTGTTTTTGTTTACACTACTGTCGGTGGAGTTGTGACTGAAATGATAGGATTGGAGAAAAATAATCATCCCCTACTTAAAGGGTGTAACAGAGAAATCTCCAACCCTTGGGGTGATTTATTTTAACCAAAAAACATCACCCCTCGGGTTGGAGATTTCCCTGTCACACCCTCAGGGTAGGGGAAGATTCTACTCGAGAGGACACACCATGTCAAGGTAAGATTTACCCAAATACAAACTGAACTACACCTTGGTGGTGTACCATCCTACAAAAAAAATATCATTCATTTAAATTTTCTTTTATCAGGTATGGATTAGCTTCGCCCAGTTTGAGCGTGGAAACGAGATAGATCAGCGTTTACCGAATGTAAGAGTTGTGTACAAAGATGCAAATAATGCCTTCAGGACGTCTGGTGACAAGGAAGAGCGCCTCATGCTGTTGGAGTCTTGGGCACAATTTGAAGTAAGTTTTCCTTTTGTTGTACAGTAATTAGATCTCACATTTCTCAATTTTAATATTCAAAAGATGTATTCACTCGTTGGCCCAGATGAAAGCGCAAATGAGGTCTTAATGTTGGAGGAAACTGGAGTAATTCGAGAAAACCAACATAGACAGGCAGGTGACCCCATACCTTTTCACGTAAGATCGGGGAAACAAACCCTGTTCATCTTTTTGAGAGATGAAACCATTATCCACTGGCCACCCAACCACCCACAGTTTATAAGTAAAAAAAAAAAATGAAAGTCAGATTTAGATTTACATGTAACAAAACTCTGGACATATTGCAACTGTTGATAACTTCATTGTTAATTTGTGGACAGGTGGAGGAAGGTGATGACGAATCACGTAACAGCGTCCGCAAGTTAATGCCACAGAAGGTGAAAAAACGCAGGAAGATCCAACTGGAAGACGGGGTGAGTCATCAATGTTTGTAGGCTTTCTTTGGTTTCAAGGACCTCGTCTTAATGTCACTTCTGATCCTAAACATCAAGTTTAAAACGTATTTGCGGTTTGTGAGAACGTTTTCTCTATCTTGGCCGTTTTTGACCAGTGTAGGATCAAGGAAACATCAGTATCAACAGCAATTTGGAATCCATGTGAAAATTGGGTCCCTGATTGTCAGTGTTTGGAATTGGATGCCAGATATTAATTAAAAACTCCTAAATTAATCAATATTTCACTAAAAATGGGTTCAAAGTTGATGTAAAGTTCAAATCATATTTCAATAAGAATATGTAGGAAAAAAATCTTGTGTGACCATCTCGTGAAGCCACCGTGTGTGACATTATTGTATCACTATTTTGTGTGACTGTCTTTTGCGACTGTGTGACTGTCTTGTGGCACTGTCTTGTGTGACCATCTCATGAAGCCACCGTGTGTGACATTATTGTATCACTATTTTGTGTGACTGTCTTGTGTGACTGTGTGACTGTCTTGTGTGACTGTCTTGTGCAACTGTCTTGTGTGACTGTGACTGTCTTGTGCGACTGTCTTGTGTGACTGTCTTGTGTGACTGTGCGACTGTCTTGTGTGACTGTGACTGTCTTGTGTGACTGCGACTGTCTTGTGTGACTGTGACTGTCTTGTGTGACTGTGACTGTCTTGTGTGACTGTGTTACTGCCGTGTGTGACTGTCTTGTGTGACTGTGACTGTCTTGTGTGACTGTCTTGTGTGACTGTCTTGTGTGACTGTGACTGTCTTGTGTGACTGTCTTGTGTGACTGTCTTGTGTGACTGTGACTGCCTTGTGTGACTGTCTTGTGTGACTGTGACTGTCTTGTGTGACTGTGACTGTCTTGTGTGACTGTGACTGTCTTGTGTGACTGTGTTACTGCCTTGTGCGACTGTCTTGTGTGACTGTGACTGTCTTGTGTGACTGTGACTGTCTTGTGTGACTGTGTTACTGCCTTGTGTGACTGTCTTGTGTGACTGTGACTGTCTTGTGTGACTGTGACTGTCTTGTGTGACTGTGACTGTCTTGTGTGACTGTGTTACTGCCTTGTGCGACTGTCTTGTGTGACTGTGACTGTCTTGTGTGACTGTGACTGTCTTGTGTGACTGTGTTACTGTCTTGTGTGACTGTGACTGTCTTGTGTGACCATCCCTTGTTACCACCTTGCGTCACCATTTTGTGTTACCGTCACTATATTTGTCTGACCCTTTCTGACTTACATTGTCTTACTTGTGTTTCCTTGCAGACCGACGGTGGCTGGGAGGAGTATTATGACTACATCTTCCCTGACGAGGAAGCAGCTCAGCCAAACCTCAAACTCCTGGCCATGGCAAAGAAATGGAAACAACAACAGGAGACGACAGAGGAGGAGGTGGAGAGCTAACACTCAAGTGTCATGTTATATCACCATATTACAGTAAAACCCACAACAACAGGAGACGACGGAGGAGGAGGTGGAGAGCTAACACTTCAAGTGTCATGTATATCACCATATCAATGTCATAACTCATGCACAGTGACGTCATACATGTGTATGGGATAATTAGACATGTTACCAGTGTTACGTATGGGGGATATCACATATGTCAAATATTGTTAGATAATTGATTATAACATGTTGGCTGACATTACATATATTTAGGCACTATTTAAGCATTTAACTGCTTTCAGATGCCATTCATAGGAATTATGAATGCCAACTGGACAAACGCAAATTCAAACTACATGTGGGATTTGACTTTGTAGAGTCAGCATTCATATTGACATTTAAATGCAAACTGAAAGCAGTTCCATACTTATATTGTCCATTTTCGAAGTCTGTTTATTGCAGAAAATTCAATAATACTTACCAATAGTCAGCATTAAGTGCAGAAGTGTATTTATCACATTTGATTGTTCAATGAATAGAACAGGTACATGTCCAGGGAGGGTTAGCGGTATCCAAACTAACAATTATGACATCACAATAATGATGACGTCAACAATCAAGTCATGGCATTCATAGCCTGTATGAATGCCATCAGAATTTGGAAGGGTTATATAGTTGTAATGCCATATGATGGTAAATAAATATACATGTGTGCTGACATTACACATGATAGAATGTTTGTGTGTTGGATATTACACATGATACAATGTATGTGTGTCGGATATTACACACGATACAATGTACGTGTGTCGGATATTACACATGATACAATGTACGTGTGTCAGATATTACACATAATACAATGTACGTGTGTCGGATATTACACACGATACAATGTACGTGTGTCAGATATTACACATGATACAATGTAAGTGTGTTGGATATTACACATGATACAATGTACGTGTGTCGGATATTACACATGATACAATGTACGTGTGTCAGATATTACACATAATACAATGTACGTGTGTCGGATATTACACACGATACAATGTACGTGTGTCAGATATTACACATGATACAATGTAAGTGTGTTGGATATTACACATGATACAATGTACGTGTGTCGGATATTACACATGATACAATGTACGTGTGTCGGATATTACACATGATACAATGTACGTGTGTCGGATATTACACATGATACAATGTACGTGTGTCGGATATTACACATGATACAATGTACGTGTGTCGGATATTACACATGATACAATGTACGTGTGTCGGATATTACACATGATACAATGTACGTGTGTCGGATATTACACATGATACAATGTACGTGTGTCGGATATTACACATGATACAATGTACGTGTGTCGGATATTACACATGATACAATGTACGTGTGTCGGATATTACACATGATACAATGTACGTGTGTCGGATATTACACATGATACAATGTACGTGTGTCGGATATTACACATGATACAATGTACGTGTGTCGGATATTACACATGATACAATGTACGTGTGTCGGATATTACACATGATACAATGTACGTGTGTTGGATATTACACATGATACAATGTACGTGTGTTGGATATTACACATGATACAATGTACGCGTGTCAGATATTACACATGATACAATGTACGTGTGTCAAATATTACACATTTATAAAGATGTTACACACATGTCAGACTGTAGTTTATGTCGGGCAATACGATTATGTGTCAAATAATATACACATTTCAGGATATAAGACGAGCGAATGTACCACATGTACCACATGTGGGTAATATTGAGGTTCCCCAACGAGTGATGGTTGGTTATCATGTTTATCTAACACAAGTTATTTAATTTTAAATTGTATAAAGACACAAGGTTTAGATTTCATATTAATTAACGAGAGTTAAATAAACATGATTATCATCCATCACGAGGTTTTGGGCCTTTTTCTCTCACAACATTCAGATATTATATTTAGAAAACCTTATGGTTTTTTTGGAATACCTTATTCCTGTTGATGATCAATGAAATAGTGCCATGAACCATGACGTCACAATGGCAGAAGAAGTGGCAAGGCATTGTTACTTGACGTCATAATTAGAAGATTGACCAATGAAATCACGTTTAGTGGGTAACCAAAAATGTTTACCAACTCCTAGCAGGTTTATCCGTGGCCAATGAGTAGAGAGGGAGGAAACCTATAGTGGTTGTGGGAGAAAAGTGACTCAATACCACAGGACAGGAAAGATATAAATGACTGGATATATCTCATCAACATAATAACTTCTGCCTTCTGTGTTATACAAGAATATCAGTACTCTTGTTGACACGATATAATTACTTAATATATCTTCTGTGTAACCAAAGGATATCTTCCATGTCAATCCTAATGTTTGACAATAGTATAGATAGTACTTGACAGGATACTTGTAGTGTGACAACTGACACAAGGATATCTACCGTAACACACAAGGATATCTACTGTAACACACAAGGATATCTACTGTGCAACACAAAGACAACTACTGTAACACACAAGGATATCTACTGTAACACACAAGGATATCTACTGTAACACACAAGGGTATATACCGTAACACACAAGGATATCTACTGTAACACAAAAGGACATCTACTGTAACACACAAGGATATCTACTGTGCAACATAATGATATTTACTGTATAACACAAGGATATCTACCGTAACACGCAAGGATATCTACTGTGCAACACAAGGACATCTACTGTAACACAAGGATATCTACCGTAACACTCAAGGATATCTACCGTAACACACAAGGATATCTACCGTAACACACAAGGATATCTACTGTGCAACACAAGAACATCTACCGTAACACACAAGGATATCAAGTGTAACACACAAGTATATCTACTTTAACACAGAAGGATAATTACTGTAACACACAAGAATATCTACTGTAACACACGAGAATATCTACTGTAACAAACAAGGATATCTACTGTAACACACAAGGATATCTACTGTTATAAAAGGGTATCTACTGTAACACACAAGGATCTCTACTGTAACACACAAGGATATTTACCGTAACACACAAGGATATCTACCGCTACACACAATGATATCTACCGTAACCCACAAGGATATCTACCGCAACACACAATGATATCTACCATAACACACAAGGATATCTACCGCAGCACGCAATGATATCTACTGTAACACACAAGGGTACTGTATAACACAAGGATATCTATCGTAACACACAAGGATGTCTACCGTAACACACAAAGATATCTACTGTGCAACATAATGATATTTACTGTATAACACAAGGATATCTACCGGAACACACAAGGACATCTACCGTAACACACAAGGATATCCCCCCTAACACACAAGGATATCTACTGTAAGACACAAGGATATCTACCGTAACACACATGGATATCTACTGTAACACACAATGATGTTGTAAAAAGAAATATACAAGAATATCCATTGTGCAACATATGGATATCTACTGTTACTCACAAGGATATCAACTGTGCAACATAATGATATTAACTGTATAACACAAGGGTATCTACCGTAACACACAAGGAAGTCTACCGTAACACACAAGGATATTTACCGCAACACACAATGATATCTACCGTTACACACAAGGATATCAACTGTAACACACAAGGATATCTAGTGTAACACACAATGATGTTGTCAAAAGAAATATACAAGAATATCTACTGTGCAACATAATGATATTAACTGTATAACACAAGGGTATCTACCGTAACACACAAGGAAGTCTACCGTAACACACAAGGATATCAACTGTGACACACAATGATATCTACCGTAACCCACAAGGATATCTACCGCAACACACAATGATATCTACCATAACACACAAGGATATCTACCGCACCACACAATGATATCTACTGTAACACGCAAGGATATTTACTGTAAAACACAAGGACATCTACTGTGACACACAATGATATCTACTTTAACACACAAGGATATCTACTGTTACTAACAAGGATATCTACTGTGCAACATATTGAGATTTACTGTATAACACAAGGATATCTATCGTAACACACAAGGATGTCTACCGTAACACACAAAGATATCTACTGTGCAACACAAGAACATCTACCGTAACACACAAGGATATCAACTGCAACACACAATGATATCTACTTTAACACGGGAGGATAATTACTGTAACACACGAACACAAGGATATCTACCGTAACACACAAGGAAGTCTACCGTAACACACAAGGATATCAACCGTAACACACAAGGATATCTACCGCAACACACAATGATATCTACCATAACACACAAGGATATCTACCGCTACACACAATGATATCTACCGTAACACACAAGGATATCAACTGTGACACACAATGATATCTACCGTAACACACAAGGAAGTCTACCGTAACACACAAGGATATCAAGTGTAACACACAAGCATATCTACTTTAACACAGAAGGATAATTACTGTAACCCACAAGAATATCTACTGTAACACACGAGAATATCTCAAGGATATCTACCGTAACACACAAGGACATCTACTGTAATACACAAGGATATCTACCGCAACACACAAGGATATCAACTGTAGCACACAATGATATCTACTTTAACACACAAGGATATCTACTGTTACTCACAAGGATATCAACTGTGCAACATAATGATATTAACTGTGTAAATATTAACTGTATAACACAAGGGTATCTACCGTAACACACAAGGAAGTCTACCGTAACACACAAGGATATCTACTGTTACTAACAAGGATATCTACTGTGCAACACAAAGACAACTACGGTAACACACAAGGATATCTACTGTAAGACACAAGGATATCTACCGTAACACGCAAGGATATCTACTGTAACACAAAAGGAGATATCGCAAGGATATCTACCGCAACACACAATGATATCTACCGTTACACACAAGGATATCAACTGTAAAACACAATGATATCTACTTTAACACACAAGGATATCTACTGTTACTCACAAGGATATCAACTGTGCAACATAATGATATTAACTGTGTAACACAAGGATATCTACCGTAACACACAAGGACATCTCCCGTAACACACAAGGATATCTACCGCAGCACGCAATGATATCTACTGTAACACACAATGATGTTGTCAAAAGAAATATGCAAGAATATCCATTGTGCAACATATGGATATATACTGTAACACACAAGGATATCTGCTGTAACACACAAGGATATCTACTGTTATACAAGGGTATCTACTGTAACACACAATGATGTTGTCAAAAGAAATATACAAGAATATCCATTGTGCAACATATGGATATCTACTGTAACACACAAGGATATCTACTGTTACTCACAAGGATATCTACTGTGCAACATAATGATATTAACTGTGTAACACAAGGATATCTACCGTAACACACAAGGACATCTACCGTAACACACAAGGATATCTACTGTGCAACATAATGATATTAACTGTATAACACAAGGGTATCTACCGTAACACACAAGGAAGTCTACCGTAACACACAAGGATATCTACCGTAACACACAAGGATATCAACTGTAACACACAAGGATATCTACTTTAACACAGGAGGATAATTACTGTAACACACGAGAATATCTACTGTAACAAACAAGGATATCTACTGTAACCCACAAGGATATCTACTGTAACACACAATGATATCTACCGTAACACACAAGGATATCTAATGTGAAACACAAGGACATCTACTGTAACA